ATGAAGGTGATGTATGATTCTTCCAATTTTCTACTCATTAGAACTCAATGAATCAAAGGTGTTGTGTTGTGTGTATGAGTTAAATTTATGGTATATATTGTTCTCTCTTTCCCCATTCCTTTTTGCTAATGACAAAGGGGGTGGGGAATCATTGTTTGTATGTGTTTTATTTTCTCTAACAAAAGTGCTGTAAGAAAATTTCAAAGAAAACTTTCATGCATGGATTAAGGGGGAGTCTTTGACTTAGGGGGGGTTTTCAAATTGATGGAGAAATCAAGATGCATCAAAATTTTCAAACAAAGGTTGTCATCATCAAAAAGGAGAGAATGTGAAGACAAGCTTCCTAAAGAGTTTTGATGAAGACAAACTATCATTGATTGCAAAATGAAATGGCTCAAGTCAAGACATCTTAATCATGTCAAAATTTTCAAAGTCGTGAAAAATCATTGTGTGAACAAATCAAATATCAAGGTATAAAGCATTCAACCTCTCTATATGCATACAAGTGTTCATAATAATGTTTCATGCATGCCATAATTCTTCAAACATATTTTGAACATCACAACTTTTTGCTTCACATCTTTTTTCAAAGTATTTTTCAAAACTGTCTCAGGGAACCCGGTTACCCAGATATGGTAACCGGTTACCCTATATTGTTTCTCAAATATAAAACGCCACTATCTTAGGGAACCCATTTACCAAGTTATGGTAACTGGTTACCCAACGATGTTTTTCAAAATTTTTTAACGTTAGAAAGGTGGTACCCGGGTATCCACTTATGGGAACCGGTTACCACCGAAACAATATGAAAAATGCCTTTGACTCCTGTCCAGAGAAGTTGTGTGCTTTTGTTTATGAAGCATGACATCTTTCCATTAAAATATACCATTTTGAAATACTATATAGAAGCCTATATAATCTCAAAATTTCAGAATTATTATAACCTCTTTTCAATATACAATTCAAATTACATAAACTATTTATCTTTCAAATTTTCAAGTGTTATACACCAGAATTTTCATTGAAACTTTCTGCACTCATTTTTCATTGAAAAATTATTCTAAGTTTCATATCATCATTGTGAAAACTTGTATCCATTATTGAGAATTGTTTTTCTTGAAGGAGAAGATCAATCCAAGATTGATATATTGTATCATACTTCAAAATTTCTTGTAAAAATTCAGATTACATTATTACTTCCCTTGCTATTCAAGATTGTTGAAAGCAAGTGTGTACATTGAAGAGGATTATTCTTCTTGTACTTAGTATTCAAGATCTTAAAGTTGTTAAGAATCTTTCATCTCCCTATAGGTTAGATAGTAAGCATCACAATTGGTGTGAATAGGCTATACAATAATTCTAACTATAGTGAAATCTCTTTCATGTTGAAAGGGGACTGAAGTACTCTCGGACTATGAGGGGAACCAGGATATATCCTTGTGTCATTTACTTTCATCTTTTTATCGCTTTCATCACTTAATCAAAAACAGGAAAAGAAAGATCAAAGATTCATAAAATTGAAAATAATTTTAAAAGTCCTAATTCACACCCCTTTAGGCAAACCTTATAATTACATATCATTAATGATTCAATTCTAGATACCTGTTAATTTTTCCTCATATAATCCAAATTTTATTGCATATGCTCTTACATCACCCAACCTAGAAACTTAATAATCTATCATATACTCTCACTGCCCCTACAATAATTCATCCACTTGATTTAATATATAAACAAAATATATAAACTTTTGACAAAATATGACACAAATGCAAGGTGTAAATATTATACCAATTCTCCAGGGCATACCATAGAAAAATGTTGGGCCTTCAGACATAAGGTTCAAGATTTGTTTCATTCCCAAGATATCACTTTTGAAAAACCAAATATCAAGACAAACCCTATGACTCAACATGGTGGTCCAGTTATGAACGTAAATGAGATAGTAACTAACTTTGGAGAGTCTCGATGAGTAAAATCTCCAATAGATATCCTGAAGGAACATCTATTGGAATATGGTTTTCTATTGGAACACAATGATGCCTTCGAAAACACTTTCAAGAAATTAGTGGATCAAGGGATAGTCCAATTCTGGAATTACCCTGAAGAAGTATATGTAGCTGCAATCAATGGGAGTACAAGAATACCATTGGTTATTCCTTTCCAAGGTCTGAATTCTGCAAAGATAACACTTGTAATTCCTTAGGAAGAGCTCACTCCAACAAAAATACCAGTAACAATACCAGTGCTTCCGAAGAGTACAATGGTAATCTGGGGTCAGTCTCCTACCCCATATGAAAGTGATAAAGTTTTATCGTGGAGTTATGGTACTACTGTTTAGGTTAATGGTTTGAAGCAAGAATGCAAACCATCAACTAGCCAAGGACCCGCAATTACAAATATAGTAGGAACAAGGGGCATGACCCATAGCAGTCAAATATACAGTCCCAAACAACAAAAGAAAGATAATATTGTTGTTAAGGATAAAGGGAAAGAAGTGATGGAAACAAGTCAAGAGCAAGAACCTCCGAGTAAGAATTTTACCAATCAAAAGGCTGAAAAATTATTGAAAATAATCAAGAAAAGTGACTATAGGGTGGTGGATCAACTACATCAAACCCTGCTCAAGATTTCAATACTCTCATTGCTCATTAACTCAGAAACACACCAAGAATTTCTAATGAAGATTCTGAGTTATGCTCATGTTACAAAATAGATTATAGTAAATCAATTCGATGGAGTCGTAGTGAATCTGACATCCGGATCACACTTAGGCTTCAATGATAGTGAGTTTCCTCCACAAGGTAGAGATCACAATAAAGTGCTGCATATTTCCATCTAGATAGGAACAACTATCCTATCCAGGGTGCTCGCTAATACTGGTTCCGCCCTTAACATACTACCAAAAGCCAGTTTGATGAAGCTAACACTAGACGGTGTTGTCATAAGGCCAAGTTCTACGATAGTTAAATATTTCGACGGTTCTCAAAGCATAATATTTTGAGAAGTGGATATTCCTATGAAGATTAGCCCATAAATGTTCTACATTACCTTTCAGGTGATGGATATAGAACCAACATACACATGCTTGCTCGGACGACCTTAGATTCATGCGGAAGGGGCTTTTACATCGACCCTGCATAAAAAATTGAAGTTCCTTGTTGAAGGAAATTTAGTTATCGATGGAGAAGAGGACAACTTTGTAAGCCACTTAGATTCCTACAGATATATCAGTGTGAAAAAAGACTTCATAGTAACACCATTCCAAGTCCTAGAAGTTGCTTCAATAGTAACCCTATTGTGATACGATGGAAGAACTGACTTGAGGTTTTGCGTTTGTATTCGCACTTGTTCGGTTTAGCAAGAGTCGCCACCGACTTTTTATTTTATCCTAAAGGAAAGGTTAAAAAGCACATGAAAAACCTTTGAGATGTTTTCGTGGGTTCGGGGGGTAGATTATGAAAAGGGAAGATGCTAGCACCCTTTTCATCCATGGTTATCCATGGGCTCTCAGTTACTTGTTTTAGATCACTTTCCTAGGCATGGCAAAAAAACCCAGACCCGCTGGGCCCCTCCCGGACCCGCCCCGAAATTAACGGGGAAAACCTGGCCAAAACGGGTACGGGTGCGGGGGCAGGTAAAACCCGGTTTCTAACTATGGGTGCGGGGGCGGGGGCGGTAAGACACTGAGACCCGCCCGCACCCGCACCTGCCCCGAATAATCCAATTAATATAATAGCCTTGTTTTAATTATTTTTATGTTATTTTTATTTTCTCAGCTTCTTAGAAGCATTTTCTCAAGTCTATCTTCTTCTCTCAAATCTCAACGCAAAATCACCGCAAGTCCGCAACGGCCGACGGCGTTGCTGCCATCACCACTACCACAACATCATCCCATCAATGAAGGGTGCCTAACAACACCTTCCCATTCGAAATCGCTCACGAATTTCTCAAAACCTAATACTTGAGGTAATTGTTTTTTCTTGAATAAAGTCTCACAAAATCACTCATTCAATGTAGTAAAATTTATGTGAAGAATCTCTTTCTCTGGTTGACACGATTTCTGTCATAACAGATCCTTGTTGCGGAATCTCTTTCCGATCTTCGCTACGGTGCATTTTCTCCGATTGATTTTAAGGTTAGTTGATGTTGATTTTAAATTTTTTCAGATGTAATTATCATTAATTTCTCCATATGAATGCTATAATGTCAATAGATGTATGAATATTCTCATGTTGCTTAGATGCAAATAACTTGTGAATTGTGATATTATTTACTGATAATAAAGAAGCAGAACCACACAATTTTTCCTCTTTTTGGAAAGATAAACTACTTTATCAATGCTAAATCATTTTTACTATGGATTCAAAACCTGAATTATAACACTTCTAAGTGAGAAATGAGAATTCAAATGTAAACAGGCGTGACAAAGAACTTTCCATGCTATAGAATAGTTGTATGTTGTGTCTATGCTAGCTATTATAATGTGTGTATAAGCTATTTTAGTGTGTGTGTGTGTATATAGCTATAGTCTTGAGAATTTGAAAGTTCATCCAAAATATATATAGTCTTGAAATAGATCCCAAGTCCAAATAGATAATTTTATGATACTATGGAATCATATGAACTTTTGTTGTATTGTAAGGTGGAAGATTCCTTTTACTCTCAACGGTTTCTAATGTGATATTGCACTTTTGGACTAGTAAAGGTTGTTAAATTCACTATGAGATTTTCTATAGTTAAAACTTCAAGTAACAGAGTTCAAGTCAGTAGCATTCCGGAACTGAGCATTTTTGTTTAACTTATTGTCACCTGTTACTTGCTCCCTCTGTTATAAATCTCCTGAAAATATCTCTTATCTTTTCTTAGAATGTGAAATTTTATAGCAACCTTTATTCTCATCTGTTATTGGCTACCGGGTTCCTGCTGTCATGGAGTTTTGTGAATGGCTTGCTAGTCTCCTTTCATGCGGGGATACGTTTAACTGCCATCTTCTTTGCATGCTAATTTTTAAAATCTGGATCGCTAGGAATCTGCAGCTATATCAGAACAAGACTTCAGCGCCGCAAAAGCTTTCTGAGGAAGCTCTTGTAGGAGTGCTGCAATTTAATAGATGGAATCCTGAACTTCGTGTCAGTAGGAAGATTCGGGTGCAGCCGGTCTTTGAGTTGATAAATAGGCTTTCCCAAGAAGTAATTCAACCTGAGTATCAAAGTAAGAAAAAAGAAAAAATTATTAAAGAAACCAATGTAAAATATAGACAAAATGTTTCCATTAACCCTATAACTGTAACATGGTACCAATGAAATGGAAATAGTGAAAACAGAAGAAGGGAATTGTGGTTTCTTAATTTCTAGAAATCATAGAATTGAATAAAATAGGATAGAGAATCAAGAGCTAACTGATAGTTTTATTAATAAATATAAATGGAATAGAGCAAAAAACAAAAGAAGGTTTGAAGACTTTATACTGAAAGCATCCTGTCACGATTAAGTTATGGTCGTTGTGAGATAAATCTTTTCTGGTCTTTGTACTAGAGCAATATTCTTACTTCTAAATTCTTTGATCCTTTAGTATTGTATACCTATACCAAGAATTTACAAAGAGAAGAATATCTCATTAACCATTTTATAGATAGTGAAAGTTTACTTGAATTGGATCCAGCTTCTGTGAGTCTGTTGGGCTGCTATCAGCTTTATTGCTCAAGTCTTCTGAGCTCAGACGGTCACGACAATCCAAAAGTAATTGAACAGCCTGTAGAAGAAACATTTGAAAACATTCACTAGAACCACCGGATGAGCAAAAGATAAACCTTATATTTCCGTAAAATATGAGCATTGAGAACCAGAATGGCCATATTATGAAATCACAGAACTATATATTAAAGACTAAGTTAATAAACAAATTACAATAGTGTAGTTTTTGTCGAGTTTGATCATGCACATACTCGAATGTTGCTGGAAGATCATATGCTACCAATTCATCCCATGACCAATTCCAATAATCCTAACCAATGGAAACCTGATATAAGCAATGGACTCAAATTGGCCTACTTAAAATCATGTTAGGAGATTTTCAATTTCTGAGGACTGACCGAGCTGTTACTAGAAAAGGATGTATGTTGATGACTATATTTGGTTCCGCGCGAGTTGGCAATCCAAACATCAAAACCATTATCCGCCAAAAGGAATGCAAGAGATTGGCTTGGTGGTAGCAATAACCATGTCACACCATCCTAAGAAAACATACAACATCACATTAATTTCCAACATCAACAACAAGAACAAAAACAAAAATCATAATCCTTTGAATTTCTCTTTGTTCATTATCATTCAAAGATGTTCCTTGTTGTGCCTGCCTTTCTTCCATAACACTAGTATTTTTAACTGCAGTTGCTGCAAAAATGCAAATGTTGCTGATAATTTAGATCAATGACAAATCATACAACTCAATATTGAAACTACCTGAAAGGTCTGACCAAATACGGGTGTGGTCAGATGGGAGCTCTGATGCATTCGATCTGCAGTTTTCTTGCTGCAATGGAGATCCATTTCTTTCTTCAGCTCGAGCATGTGTATTGTTAGGCACCACTGGAGAATTTTTTTTATTAATAACCATGTATTAAAAAAATATTTCGCAAATAACCGGGTTTCGGAAAAAATTACGCAAATAACCATGTTTCAGATGGCTCCATAAAGGAGGAGCCATCTCATTTGGCGCATGCACCTAGGGTTTTGCCCTAGGCGCCATCTCACTTGGCGCCTCCCTTGGCTTTTAGCCAAGTGAGATGGCGCATGCTCCTTAAAAAGGAGAGGAGGCGCCATCTCACTTGGCGCCTAGGGCAAAACTAGGGTTTTTTGTTGTTTTATAAATAATTCATCCGTTTCTTTGAAATTTCTCACACTTTCTCGCACTGTATTTTTATTTTGTACTCCCTTATTTACGTAATGACGTCGCCTATGATTTTTAGCAGAGATGGTTACGTTATATTCTCCGCCACGAAACCTGCGATGAAAATGAAATTCTGGCACATTCACTCCATGGAGCGTCTGAAGCGGGAGTTGATGCGGTGGCTAGATGGAGACATCGCCGAGGGGGGAAAAATTCGAAGGATCCAGCGAAAACGAACAACAACCTCGCATGCGACAGGAAGACCTAATGTGTGGTTGGAGGAAGTCAAAACAGACAGTGATGTAATGCTGATGATGCATGGGTCAGATGAAATTGTGTTAACAGTTGTAATTTCCTAGATTGAATATCGTTAATCATTGTTGTACGCGAAAACCCTAATGTAATTTCCTATATTGAATTTCTTAAATTGTGTGAACAGTTTTATTAACGGAAAACCCACAATGTTTACAACACAAATATTGAAAAGATTTATTGTATTACAAAATTTATGTGGTCGAGCCAGACGCCCGATTCGGACAGTTTTTGCGATTGTGTCCGACCTGACGGCATAAACCACACTTTCTTTCCAACCTGTCAAGATCGTCCATTTCTGTTGTTATGCGCCTGCTTTTGGGACGACCCTTCTTGTTCCTTCGCATTTGGTCATTGTGCCAAACTATATCACCGTTGTATTCAGGCCAATAGTCCGGTTTTGCCACCAAAGGAAAGTTGTTGTTGAAAACAGTGAGCAACGTTTCAGATTTATAAACGTTTCAGATTTTTATTTCCCGAAAGTACGGGAAATAGTGTAAATTTCATGTACTTACATTTACTAACAAATTTTGATAAAACTAGAAAATATAGTTGGGGTTCTGCAGTATTAGCCCACCTGTACAGTTCCTTGTGCAAAAACGCAGTCAAGGAAAAATGTACATTTTATGGATGCGCATTTTTACTACAAGCCTGGGGTTGGTGGAGGATGGAGTCCTTAAACCCCATCAACAACAACACTTTTGGTTTCCCTTACGCAACAAAGTAAGTCATTAAGTTATAGCATTTATAACTATTCTTCTCTTTCCAAAATATATGCTAAAAATAACATGTTTCTCATTTCCTTTAGGTACTGCGTGAGGGGTATGAATTACGGCAAGAATCCCAGATTCAATGTCGCACTCTACCGGAATCTATTGGATCACTTAGGCCCAGATGACGTACGTCGTAGCTTTTAACTTTTGTTCATTTTAATTATTTATACATTACTTTTGCGCTTACCTGATTTAAATTTTATCGCAGTTCGTCTAGAGACCATATTTGGGTTTGGACCATTCTCCAAATCCAGAGGATGCAGCAACTTGGACTGCAAAGATTGCACTCATTCGGTTCAACATTGTGGAGATGCACCACAGCGACCGTGTGAAGATGCAGTTCGGAATGATCCAAGAGATACCAAGTGATCCAACAGATTTGTCCCCCTGGCATCTAAAAAGGGTCGACGCCCAGTGGAATCTTACCAACTGGAAAGACTTTGCTCCAGAATGGTGTAAAATGTGGCAAAGGCGTCACCGCTACATCTTGCAATCCCCGGTTTTCCTTACTCAAGGTAACATGCGACACACCTATCAATATATGTCGTGGTACAGGTCGGTTAGTAACCCAGATATGCACGTGTCTCATCCGAGGTACTTGGTTGACCCACGCACACAATGGGCACAACCCTCGATTCCCCACCAACAAACCCAAAATCCATCAACCTCAAACCAACCCCCAAGAAGAAACAGACCAACAAACACACAACCACATTCCCCACCACAACACAACTACAACCAAATGCCGTACTACCAACCACAATCACCGCCAAACTACCAATACCCGGATATGCCTCAAACCCAACCACAATACCAACCCCAATACCAGCAAACCCACATACCACATACACAATTTCAGTCTTCCACATATCCCAATATGGCGCCCTCAACATCCAGCCTTAGCCCTGATATGGGAATGTCAGAAGATTATGACCAAGCCGACCAAACCTACCATCAACCACCATATCACCAAACAACCCAACATCCACAATACCAAACACCCCAAGATCCATTTCCTTTCTACCCCCCATACTCAGACGACCAATGCTACCGACCAACCATGGAACCCCACCCACCGCCAACACGACCAAACTTCGAGGGTATGGGTAACCGACTGTACCAGAGCGGATCTTCGAGATATGGAGATCTTACTGATTTTATGGATTCGGATCGCATTGACTTCGCTGGGCCATCGACCTTGCCGCAGCAGGAAACGAGACGGCACCCAGCAAGAGAAAGGCGAGGACGGGGATGCGGAACTGGGGGTCATTACCGGGTTCCTGGGGATCACTGATGTATCTTTTTTTTTCCCAGTATTTTTTGTATCCATTTTTTTACTGTTCTTTAAATGTAAAACAGTTGAATGTAATTATTTTTTTTTAAATAAAAAATCCATTTTGTTTATCTCTGTCTAATACGCAACGCGCAGGAAAGAAAAAAAAAATTTTTTTTGACCTAATTTTCTACATAGGCGCCATCTCACTTGGCTTAGGGCTTGCCCTAAGCACTTAGGCGCCAAGTGAGATGGCGCCTCCCTTAAAAAAAGAGGAGCATGCGCCAAATGAGATGGCTCCTCCTTTGTGGAGCCATCTCAAACATGGTTATTTGCGTAATTTTTTCCGAAACCCGGTTATTTGCGAAATATTTTTTTAATACATGGTTATTAATAAAAAAAATTCACCACTGGAGGTTCTGATGCTGCGCCTTCATGAAGCTGAGATGTTAACATAGTTGCTAGTACAAGGGTAGCATCAAAATTTGAATGGGACCCATCTTCCAAACCAAATTTAGGTGCCATGAGAATTAGTCTGCTTGCCAAGTGCAATGTTATTCAAAAATAAAGATTAAAAACACATCATAACTATTAAAGACAACAACAAAACAACCAAACATTATTTTGGAAGGTGAAGTCAGCATCATGGATAAATTGACATTATAAAGTCTGTTATGTATTCGTTCAAACATAGGTGAGTAATCTTTATGTTTCTCTTCGTGATTTGGCCTATAGTTTTGTTTGATTTACCATCGGGGCTATCCCAAGTTTCTCTCAAATGATTCTAATTCTATTTATATCTTTTCTTATGTAACACCTCCTCAATTGTAACATTATCACCGCTGCGAGTCTGCAACATTGTGTATACTTTTTCTTATAACCCCTCAAAATTCAGTTCCATGCAACATTTCATGCATACTACTCGGATCTTATGGTTGACATCTTCCTCTATATCTCTTGTCACTTTAAAATTTAAATAATGGAACCAAACAAGGTACTCACAAAATGAGATTTGCGGAATTGTTCTTCAATTTTCAGCTCTACGTTGGAGCTTATTTGTCGGTCATTTTCGAAACTTACACTCCATATACTATGTTTTACTTCTGCTTAGGTATAGACCGTGTACAGAGGTTTTCCGTCATATCCCTAACTTCACATTTATATCTTCTCTCAACTTTCCACTACAACTATATCAACTGCCAAAATAAACATATATTCTGACACCATTTCTAGGATATGTTTGATATGCATGTAAGCAATGTCATAGAAGCTACTTAGAACCTACTAAACTTGCTGAAACTTGCTGATTTCTAATAAAAAAACAGAAACAGATGAAAGCAATGTTGCAAAGTACATACCAAGTGTTCTTCACAAGCATAGCCTTGTGTTTTCACTAGTGATGAGCAAACACCATCACTGAGCTCTGGTGCCAATGCAGTAACAGTGCTGCTGAGTGGTAATATTTTTGTTCTTGATGCAAGAGTTAAGCCACACAAGAGAATCACAAGTGTTATTGAGAGTGAAATATTTGCCATTTTCTATTTTCTGATGAATTAATCTTCCTAATTCAAACATTATTTATATGAACAGAAAAGAGAATAAAAACACAGGAAAGACTATAGTGCCTTAAAAAAATGCAATTGTGGGGTCAATCATTGGATACTTAAATTACTAATAAGTGTTTTGTATTTTGTTAATATGATTCTTTTTTTGTTTCATTGACCAAACAAAGCCTTGTATCCAAATAAGGCGTTAGAAACTTAGGCTAGAGGCTTTTCTTATCATAGAAGCATGGAGTTTGTACATGTCCTATGGCTTAAAGTTAACAAATAAACTCCAAGTTTAATGCAATTGGTAGCCTTTGTTAAGAAAGTGTTACTCAACAAATATTTTTGAACATTTTCTTTCACACTTATGGTAAAACTCTTTTTTCTTTTTATGGTTACGCAGCATGATTTGTGCAAAATGTATTTGAAAGAGACGATTTTAATTGGAACTGTATTTTATGGTTACGTATATATTTCATTTATTAATACTAGTTTATTATATATTTCATTTATTAGTACTAGTTTATCCTTATTCTTATTTTGAATACTAGTTTATTCTTATTCTTATGTACAACTTAATTATTTTACAGGATAATTAGTTATGGAAAATGAAGATACCTCTCAAATAGGATGTCCACCTATCTCACAAGAAAGTACACATCAACCTATTCCAATGAAAGTGGTAACCAATCAGTTGATGTTCCTCCTCCCACGCCAAATGATATTATGGAGGTTGATAGCCAAACAACCACAAGTCATCGATCCAGACAGAAAAGTTTTGTATGGAATCATTTTACAAAGGTCAAAGTTGACGGAAAAGATAAGGCTCAATGTAATTATTGCTCAAAGAAGCTTAATGGATCATCAAATGATGGGACGTCACATTTAAAAGGACATTTGGGATGTTGTCCTAAAAAGAAGATTTTGAACCTATCTGATAAAGGACAAACAATTCTTACGCCTAGATCCATGCAAGGTAAACAAGAGTTGAGTACTGGAATTTATGATGCAGAAAATTCTAAGAAAGAGCTTGCACATGCAATTATTTTGCATGAATATCCGCTTTCAATAGTGGATCATATTGGTTTTAGAAGATACTCAACTTCTCTCCAACCAATATTCCAAGTTCCTTGTAGAAATACTATAAAGAAGGAGATACTCAAAGTATACAATATGGAGAGATCATCAACTTTGAAGTTGTTAGAAAATCTTGAAGGAAGAGTGGCTATTACTTCTGACCTTTGGACCTCGAGCAATCAAAAAAAGGGATATATGGCTGTCACTGCTCATTACATTGATGGAAACTGGAATTTACAGAGTCACATTTTGAGGTAAATCTAATTTCTTCGAATAATACATTAATTGCATATTATATATAGTTTTGTAATCACATTTTGAGGTAAATATAATTTCTTCTAATAATAGATTAATTGCATATTATATATAGTTTTGTGAATCACATTTTGAGGTAAATCACATTTATACTAGTTTTGTGAATCTTATTATGTTAGGTTCATTTATGTTCCTGCACCTCATACTAGTGAAAACCTTTGTGGTGCATTGGTTGAATGTTTGATGGATTGGAACATTGATTCAAAATTGTCTACTATCACTTTGGACAATTGTAGCACAAATGATGCAATGATTGATAAAATTAAGGCTAAGTTGAAACCAGAGACATTATTAAGGGACGGGGCCTTACTTCATATGCGTTGTTGTGCACATATACTAAATTTGATAGTAAAAGAAGGGTTAGAAGTTGTGAAAGATGGAATAGAGATGATTCGAGATAGCGTTGCATTTTGGACAGCAACTCCTAAAAGGAAGGAACGGTTTGAGGAGACATGTAAACAATTAAAAATACCTTGCACCAAGAATTTAGTTTTAGATTGTCCAACTAGATGGAATTCTACCTATAAGATGCTTGATGTTTCTATTTTGTATGAAGAGGTATTTAATAGATTAGCAATCCGTGTAACTCAGTACACTTGTTTGCCAACAACTTTACACTGGAAATTTGCAAAAGAGATTTGTGTAAAATTGAAATTGTTCAATTCTATCACTGAAGTGTTTTCTGGAACTAAGTATCCCACTGCCAATGAATACTTCCCTAAGATTTGTCAGATTAAAGTTTCATTACTTGAGTGGATTGAATCCTCTGACGAATTGGTAAAAAGAATGGCAGAAAATATGTTGGTAAAGTTTGAAAAATATTGGAGTGTGATTCATGAAATAATGGGGGTTGCTGCTGTTTTGGATCCTAGGTATAAAACTGATTTGCTTGAATATTATTATGGAGTGTTCTATGGGAATGATGTTGATTCCCAAGTTAAGTCAATCAGACAGTTATGTTACGAGTTAGTTTATGATTATCAATTAAAAATGAACAAGGATTCTAGAAGTGAATCTGAAATGTTGGATGCTAATGTTGGAAATGTTAGTAATGATGGTTTGAAAGACTATGATTTGTATGTCATAAGAAAAAAAAAAGCTAGAACTTCATCTGTTAAAACAGAGTTGGATGTTTATTTGGAAGAGGAAGTTTTACCAAGAAGTCCAGATTTTGATATTTTATTATGGTGGAAGTTGAATGGGATTAAGTATCCAACACTTCAAGCAATTGCAAGGGATGTATTGGCAATTCCTGTTTCTACCGTGGCTTCTGAATCCGCATTTAGTACAAGTGGTCATATCGTAAGCCCTCATCGAAGTCGACTTCATTGGACCACTTTAGAAGCTTTGATGTGTGCAAGAAGTTGGTTATGGAGTGCTGAGAATAAAGGTAAAGATCTTTCTTGTTTATATTTTTTATTTTTACTTGCCAAGACTATCATTGACTATATTTTACTATATTGATAGGTAATTTGAAATCTAACGTGGGAAATGAAAATGCTATTTTACTAACTGAAATGGAGTCTGATGATGAAGGTATTATTCATACTATTTGTATTAAATTTGTCAAGTTAAATTTTTATATTTTAACTTTTATTTTTTAACACAGGTGAGTTGTTGATTGATGGTGCTACTTCTATTTCCAACTCCCGCCTCGAAGATGAAGATTATTAGAAAATTTGTTGTTTATTTGGATCTTTTTTTGTTATGATGATATCGTATATTTTGTTCCATGTTGTTGGAATGGTTATTTTGTTCCATGTTGTTGGAATGGTTCTTTTGTTGATTGTATTGTTTTAATTTTGTATTTGTACTTTGCAAAAAAATTGTTGGTTGTTGGGAGTGATTTATACTTTGATATATTGAAAGATTACACTCTTTTAATGAATCACAAATTCACAACCAATTATAGTTGATTGAAGGGTTATGATAGAAAAATATATGGAATGGTGTTTGAATATTAAATCCTACAATTATTTACTCAAATCAATGGCGAATTTTGTATTTTTAATGTATTTGTTAATGCTGTCCAGGAAATTTGTGAAAAAAATAGATATTTTTTTATTTAAAAAAAACAGTTTTCGCGGGTGGGGGCGGGTGCGGGTGCGGGTGACCCGTTCTCCATTGGGGGCGGGTCTGGGGGTGAATTTCCATCCCCCGGCGGGTTTGGGGGCGGGGGCAGGTCTATTACTGGAGTTGCGGGTGCGGGTGCGGGGTTAGCTAAACCCGCCCCCGACCCGCCCCGTTGCCATCCCTACACTTGCCTTGATTTTCAATTGTGTGAAATGGTGCTTTGTGTGTGAGGTTTTGAAAATGTTTTGAAAAAGATGCCTTGTCTAGGCAACCGTTGTAACAATTCTTTACTCGAATGTTTTACAAAGGTGTTTGTCTTTTTGAAAAGATGTTTCAATGTTTTTGAAAGTTGTTTTGGAAGTTGTGTTTGTGAAGTGTGTTTTGAAGGTAGGCAACTGTGTTTTGCAAGTTTGATCAAGTAACTAAGAGTTGTCTACCCTATTGTACTCAAAGGTCTTTCTTATGTTTTAACCCTTTTAACAGTGTTGTTTCACCATTGTATTTGGTGAACAACCTTGTGTTAGGATGTTAACGGGACAGGCGCGGGTCATCGTATGGACCATGAATGCAATAGTGCCAAGTGTCTTTGGCAATTTTTCTTTAAGGGACTATGATCATTTTGTTTAGGCAACTTCGAAAGCGTCATCGAGGGACTATGATCATTTGATTTGTTTTTGTTTTGTTTTGCCAAAGTACTTGACATGCAACATGGCCCATTTTTGAAGGCAACGAGTGGAGGAACCCTAGGGGTGCAAGTGTGATTGGTGTATTGATTGTCATGCATTTATCTTTGTATTAGGTTATCTAGCGGTTGATTTTGAATCTTCGCATACAAACCCTAATTACTATACAGTATATAGAAAGCGATAAATTGCGGGAATTTAAAGTCTAAGCTATTACAAATAAGTATCCGGGGATGGGGGTACAAATATTTACAAATGGGGATGAGTCTTATCAGGATAGTAGTGTCCAAATAACATTTACAACCAAATCAAACCATATTCTCAATGTAAAATATAGCAAAGTATAAGAATCAAAGAGAAATAAAAGTATCATGCTATGTATGTGATTATTTACAAATGATGCAAAAATTAACCTAATGTATTATTAAGTATTATTATCTTTTTTATTTTTGTTAACTATGCAAACAAAAGTATTAAAGAAAAGAAAATAAAAATATTTAAGTTAAAGAAAATTAATGTTTATGTATTTTAGTTTAAATACAAAGGTTTATTAAACAAAAATTCTAAAAATAAAATTATTTAATTTAGAAAAAATCTTATTATTATGTACTCTTAAATGTGATAAAAAAGTATTAATAAACATTTTACATGAAAGGTTAATATATTATTAAAAAAAGGAATTAGGTTATAAAAGAAAAAAAAATTAATAAATGTTGGTTAAAAGAAAATAAAATAAAAGGAAGTTATGTGGGCCTTATGTTTTATGTACATGGCAGGCCCAAAACAAATGCTGATTAACACAAAAAAAGGGGGGGGGGGCGTTCCAGAATTTGTTGGGCT